TCCGTGTGCATTTTATAGCTTTCTGCTTTCACTAGTGGGTCTGTGCCATATTTGAAAACAAGGAAAATGCCCGACTGTTCAAATTTTTTTAATACGAGCAGAAAATCGTCCAACATGTCTCGCAGCGTTTCTGCAAAACAAGTTTGAAAGCAATGCTGCGCGCGGTTTACTACCGAAGAACCAACATGCCTCGCGGTAAAAGAAATTTGTGGCAGGTTGAGTGAATCCTGATTTCTGATTGGATAATACAGTCAGCTGATTGTAACGCGATGTCTTTTGCTGCGAGACACGTTTGGGTTGCTGTAGTAATGCACGCAATATAATCGACGAATTTTGCTTTAAAAAGTAGAGCGATCTGCTATACTTTCTACAACATATCTTTTCAGTTTCAAAATTCACTTTTATCGTTAATTTCCTTCACTGTAGTTTGTATTCTGAATGTTAATGGTATGGGAGGACACTACGAATATCTTTATATTCAATGTATCTCAAAGCTCAAAAGGTGTTTTATTTTGATCAGGTAACTACCATGTAGAAATACTGGCATTAAAAACAGTTTAGTCGAAAATCTGCATTTTTGCTAAACAAATATATTTTAAAGGACATTGTTTCATCCAACTCCAGTTTTTTTCCAATTAAAAATCGCAAGTGCGGTTCCCAAGTCTTTAAGCTGTAATTTTATATATAATAAGTTTCTTCATATAAGAAATGAACTTCGAACTGTCGGATCGCATTCTTTTTGAACATTTTGATATGGAATTTATATGGAAAATATAAATTCTTATTTATGTTATTTCAAATGAATATTTCAAGTACTGGGTTTCCAGTTAATTCTTATTTGGTTTCGGCAATACGTCTATAAAGGGATTACAACCTTGTTATTTATTGAGCCTTTAATCTTTTTAAATTTGTTTGTGGGATGTTTAGTGCATTAAACAAAATAGAAATAGATTAAATAGATATACAAAGAAAAATATTAAGATTAACATACAACGGTTCATTAGCCTGCGAGTAACAGAAAGCGTTTTCTTTCATTTAGAAAAGATTATTACTCTAGAAAGATGCTCTCCACGCTGCTGGCTACGTGTTGGTGACCCATTGTCAATTTGGTATAAGATATATTTAAAAATCCACAATATTTATCATTCTAAAGTTGAATTTTATGATAAAAAATTACTTAAGATATTTCAAGGAAGTTTTAAAGTGTATTTTAATACTAGTTTTTGGCTGATTTTCAGTGAAAAGCTCCGGTGCAAAAAATTATTATTTTGGCAATTCTTGGCACACTTGAAGTTTACTTGACATAGAATGAATTTTTTAATTCACGTAATCAATGATATACTCAAACTAGTCTTAGCAACTTCCCTTGTATGTCTGTAGGCCTACAAAGTCTGCCACGTCCGGGAAAATAAGATAATTCCATTTTGAAAAGCCTGCTGATGCTTTTCCGAAAGCGTGGTAAAGCAGGAACAAAAACAACAACGCGAAACTAAAACGTAGAATTTGGTAATGTTTTTTCGAAAAAAAAAAATAAAAAAAAAAAATAAAAGAAAGTTGAGATCAATAATTTGGCTTTTGCCAAAATCGTAACTTATATACACATTTTTTTATTATAATGGACAAGCTATTAGCATTACCATTCGTGTTTTAACATTTTTTTGATGCAATAGACAAATTGCTCTCATTGTTAAGTTGACCTTCGTTAGGGCTAAGGAGTAAACTTGTTTTGAATAGAAGTCAAGTAATGATTATTGTTATTATTGAAACCATTCAAGTTCTGTTTTTGCTTTCTGAAATTGATAATTCAGTTGAATTGAACCGAAAAAGCTGGTTTTTAAGCACTGTTTTATACAAAGCCGTTCAATACTTTTAACATTTGAAATCTCATGAAGCGCTTTCCTTATTTATCAGACTTGTTTTCATACACATTTAACTAAAAAAACTATTCACTTTACCAACATTTTCAGTGTCATTTTTTTAGAATATGAAAGGTTTGATTACTTACTTTTGAAAAGGCAGTTCGCTATCGGTGTCGCTTTTAAGAGAGACCTCGTGCACTGCTTAACGCCTACAGCTTAAAGAAACCAGATCGAATTAATATTAACCACATGAGGTTGGAGAAAGTTCTGTTGCCTCGGCGAGGTTGATTATCAAAGACAATTATATTCAGGCTTGGTTGTTACATTACGCAATTAAAAACGGGAGTTTTGCTAGCGCTCGTTGCAATTCGATTACAATATAATAGTGTCAACGTATCTAAATGTATATTCCAGTGTCTTTGATAAGACATTGTGGCTTGTATAAAAGGTATTGATGGAAGAGATATATATTAAAGTTCTATAGAGACAGAGATAGCGTTACAAAAGGAAACTTAAGAATTACTAGAATCAACATCACTGATAAGAGCTCTAGCTTTTTCCCCTTTGCGTAGATAGCATCACTGCCTCTTTTTTGAATTTTACAAAAATTGATAACGTTCAAAAAAGAGTCTATTAATAATTCAGAAATTCATGATATCGATTATAAGCCTCCGGGACAATTGTTCGAGATTATGAAATTAACTTTCAGTGGTACTGTCATTTCCTATGTTTTTGGTTTTAATACTCATAATAATTGTGTATACCTTATAATCTTTTAGCTACATCAGAAACTTCGTAGTATCTTCAACGAGATCAAGACAACAGAGGCCGTTTTTCCTATCGCGTGTGCTGT